GATAGATAGATAGATAGATAGATAGATAGATAGATAGATAGATAGATGGAGGATTATCATTTTTACATTTCTTTACCAGTTATGGTTTTATTCTCAAGAACACTTGTTCTGAATCATTTTGTTTCTCTCACCGTGAAGCATGATATTAAAAGCCGTTTCTGAGAACAGAAAGGAAGATCTCTACATTGGGACGGAACAGAGGGTCCATTTTTCATCACTGGCACTTATGATGGACATTTCTTGGAAAAAGTTTTATGTTTTTACTTTTGCTGAATTTTTACACTGGTGAAACTAAAGATATTCTGCAAAGCTAAACAGCTCCCATGGAGAACAAGAGCAGAACTCGTTTAGCCAGCACTTATGCACATTTTTGCTAAAATAGGCTTTTCTGCTCACATTTTCAGCGTCTGCAGTTTGCTCTTGCAACATATCTTTGTGGCGTCTGAGGCTTCCCACAATAAACCATTAGAGACGGTTGACAAACAGAAGTTAAGTTGCCATCATACGCAACCGTGGCCATCTGCTCCAGCATTTCAGAATGCTATGGAGACTGCTTCAGGGAAGAAGTTTTGATTGAAAGAAAGGCTGCGCTTCATGGAAATTAGAGAAAAGAGGAAAAGAGAAATGACTTAAGTCTGACATAGTTTTCTTTTTTCAGAAAAGATTCCCTGTCACGTTACTCTAAACGTCCTTACTTATCTGCTGAGTTAAAACAATCATGAACATTGTCCAAAGTAAATTAAATAGAAAAAGAAAAAAAATATATATATGCTCATCCAACTGTTTACAACTTATACACACAAGATTATTTTTCTTTGGCATTTTTGCTCACATTGTCACATTGTGTGTCCAAATTCTCCATTACTAGTATTTTAATGAAAAGCCTAAAGTGGTACATGGCACACGTCATCTGCACTTCTCTGTTTTTACTTCAGGGATGTTTTTAAAAAACATGGTTTTGATAACTTCCCCAAAAATATTGGATTGTTGGATCCTGGATTTTAAGTTTCAGATTTGTCCCTAACACCCGAAACCAGGTTTGTGAATAGGGCTAAGTGTTACACTGGCTTTGTAGGGATAGTGATGGTGAAACTATTCCACCAAGAAAATAATACAAGCCTGAACTACAAGCAATGCTTCACATGAATTTTAAGGTTGTGTGTGCTCTGAACATATGAAAAGAATATGAACACATTAAGTAGCTAAGGAAGCTGGCAGAACTTTGTTTTTACAATATTTTCACACACTAAATCAATCCATTTGTTGGTAGGACCACAAACACACAGATTTGTTCAAATCAGGAAACTTTCAATTTCTAAACTTTTGCATGTCCTGATTTAAAACTTTGTGATGTTTTTTTTTTTAAATATACAGAGTACCTTGATATTTTTCATGAAATTCTGGCGCAAACATTTAAGGCTGGATCTGACAAGTGTATTTAAAGTCAGCACTAAGCTTTTTAATGTAATGCACTTTACAAATCTAAAGTATCCTCATGCAGTACATCTTCTATTTTCTTTATATTTGCTGAAGAATTTTTAAGGCAGTAAAAAGTAGGATTGTTCACCTCTTTCATGTCAAGTCAGGGGAATGAGACACAGCGTAGTCAAATAATGTGTTGGTAGGAAGTTGTGATTTACAATGAATAGTTTGTGTTATGCAAGCTGGTGCTGAAAGGCGTTGGTTGTGTCTCTGGGGAGAATTTTGGTTTAGAGTCAGAGCGAGTGAGATGAGAATAGGTTCTCAGAGAGGAACTGGGAGAGCAATGGGGACGTTTAAGTGGAGAGACAGGTGGACACTGAGCCCACATCCTGGGACACAAAGAGCAAGCCACCAAACCACACATGTTGTGTACATGCACACACATCCACACAAAGAGACACACAAACCATCGTACAGTAGACGCTGACCAGGGATCATATCCTCTAATTAGTATCAGTTCATGTCCTTCAAACCAAAGGTATCTGCTTTACACCTTTGCAGGTCTTATTCAGCCAAACTCCGACTACAACCTGGGGAATGTTTAGAAAAGGCATATTTGTATAGTCTGGATATATAAATGAAACCAGAGTATTTTTTAAAAACAAAGCCTTGGCTGTTTTTCGATGTAGCTGCAAAGATCTTTTCTTTAAGAGCTTGTACACTTTGGGAGACTCACAAGTCACTGAAGGGTGAATCAGGGTGAACAGATGACATTTCTAATGTTTAGAATACCGTCGATTCCTAAAGGGAACAGAGATCAGATTAGAGCAAATGGAAAAAACAAGATAGTGGAAGTCTCACAGCTCAACTGGGTTAAGGGACAACTTGGATGCCCTTTTTGCCGCTCTCTTTGACAAAAGTAATCCCTGACCGCCTGATCAGTGGACAGGAAACACAGGAAAGAGCCGAAAAAACAAACTTCTGCCCAGAAAAGAGGAACAACTGATACACTGGCCTGCCGAGATCGACAATTAGTCTATTACAGCCTTCTCATAAAAAACTAAGAATGAAACCCCCCAAAAATTGGAGATGATAATTTTCAAAAATTTGTGTAACTGACAACTACAGTCCATTAAGAAGAAATTCATAGGAAACCATGAGGAGACTCCCAGAGAAATCCCCCTTTTTTTACAACTTTAATACAGTTTGAACACAGACCTGTTATTCACAGCATATTTTTCTATGTGCACGATGTATTTCTGTTTCAAATTCAAGAAAAACAAAACTTATCGGTAGAAAAATAAGGTGATAGATGCTGAGGTGGAGGGGAAGACCAGGGTGGGGTGACGGTCCCTGAGGAGCCGAGGCCTGGGGAGCATGAGAGCCGACATGTGACTCACAGTTCAGTGCTCACCGTGTTTGTGTGCATGTTAAG